ATCGTGCGCCGTCGTCGAGTTGCATTGTAACGGTTCGACTACCGAGAGATATGCCATATAACAGGAAAAGTGTGTCATCGGAACGTGATCGTTAATAATAATCTCGACGATTCGACGAGAACGGGAATCACGATTTCAAAAGAAAACCAAATTTAAGATTGTTTCGTCGAAATATTAAAAAGGGTATCGACTTGAACGCTTTCTTTTTTTTTCTTTTCTTTATTGTAAAATATAGTTCAAAATTTATTTTTTATTTAGAAACAAATTATATATATATATAATTGATTCGAACCTAGCAAGATAAAATTATTATCACGTCGTACAATGTTTATCGTTAATCCGTTCAATTAGAATTTCCTAGCACGACGAGGTTTTACAATATTTATAGACAGTATGTATTATATCAAAAGATAATAAATGAACGTGTGTCAATTCTCCCATGGGATGATAAAACGTTGCCGTTGCGACGTTTAAAGTGTGTTTTAGACAAGACAGTTTTACCGGTGTAACAGAAAGAAAAAGAGAGAGAGGGAGAGAAAGAGAGAGAGAGGGAGAGAAAGAGAGAGAGAGAGAAAAGAGAGAGAAGAGAGAGAGAGAGAGTAGAAGAGTGTGGAGCGTTCGTCCTTGCACAGTGCCGACCCGACGAAGCATATATCTAACCTCTCTCTCTCCTGAGAATAGGGCGCGAACGTGCGCGCACAGCAAGCGAGCGTCGTATACACAGAAAACCGCGTGGCGAGTCACGGCGCAAGTCGAAACAACGAGGCAACGCCGCGTGGCCGATCAGCTGGTCGGCCGCCGGCACTACGAGAGTGGGGGAAATCGCGCGCGACTGGGCTAATGAGTGTGCGACCTATTGCTGCTTCTTGGTGGTGGAGGAAGCTTCTCCTCGAACGAGAGCGCGAGCGCTCGCTCGCACATACATACGAACACACACTCACTGAAAAGGGTGAGAGAGAGGGAATAACTAAGCCGCACACCAACCAACCAACCAACCAACCAGCCAGCCAGCCTGCCCCAGGAACGATCTTGCGTTCTCTTCTCTACTGCTCTGTTGCCGACGCAACCTAGACGTGTATGTGTGATTTTTTTTTCTTCTTCTCTTCCACACCGTCAACCACATTGCCACCTCCTCCGCTGTCTTTTCTACGATCGAATGGCATTGCAAGGTCTAGGAGCCGGCTCTCACAACCGGCAATGAGAGAGAGAGAAACACATTCACACTAGACTTCTTTATCTTCTTAGTACTCCGGAGTATGCTTTTTTCATTAACTTAACACTTTTAACACGATTCTCTTTTCGAATTTTGAATAGAATTCTTTTTTCTTTTTGTTTTTTATATTTTAGGACAGGTTTTAAAGGGGACACGCGCACCTTTTTGAAACATAATTTTTTTCTTTTTCTTAATTTTTTAAGGGGAATTTTATTAATAATCTTTTTTTACACCCATACGATTTTTTTCTCTCTTGTCCGTTATGGTCCACCAAACGATTGACCTAGAAACACAATTTATCGAATTCTTTTGAAAATTTTGTTTAAACACTCGCGGATACACTGTTATGATATCTTGATATTTAATACAATGATTGAACTCTTTTCTAACACTGTCGAATTAGTTGATTTCAAATATTATACACTATATTTTTATCTCTTTCTCTCTCTCCCTGTCTCTCTGTCACAAATATACACACACACATTTGTTAGTAGTACACTTCATGAAATTCTTTTCCTTTTTTTTTCTTTTTTTTTTTTTTTTTTTTTTTTTTTTTTTTTTTTTTTTTTTTTTTTTTTTTGTAAAATTTGACAACAATTGATTACACACAAAATCAATGGTCGAATTATAAAACGTAATCTACGATTTTACATTATTCGTAAAAATCAAAAAGGATCGATACGATCATCTTTGTTCAAGAATTGCAACAAACAAATTCAATTTTATTACATTTCTTTTTTATTTTGATGTCTCTACAATTCTATCAGGTTAAAATATTCGAATTTGAAAAGAAAAAGAAAAAAATAGAAAAAAAAAAGTAGGAATCAAAATCACGTAAGAATTATCTTGAATGGAACGATCCGACCGACTCGGCGGTCCAACAAGCTATGCTCGTTCTCCCGAACGTACGGCTGGTCGCAGCTCGTCCGGAATCATCCCCACCACGATTGCCTACCACCGGTAGTCTCCTCTAATACGCGCTTGCACGGCACGACACGCGACGACGGTAGACGTAGTGCACAGGGCCGTCACCACACGACGGCCATCGCATCGCGTCGCGAGGGCGCTCGAGTCTTAAAGGTGAATTTACACCTGACACTTGTGGCACGGAATGTAGCCGTTGACCGTTTTAATCCCTCGCTACGTCACGAATGACGACGACAGACGACACGACGAACACTTCTCTCTATACGTATTAAACGATTTTACTTTAGAAATGGAATTACGTCATTCGATTAAATAAAGACCTACTATATTACGATTATTATTTATATTTTTTATTATAAATATATTCTAAATATAAAACATTTCACGTTATTTTATAGCAATAAGACAATCGATGATATTAAAAAAAATGAATTAATCAAATAAAATCTTTGTAACGGCATATAACGATGGTCGATAATCAATAGTATATTTTGTTCGTAAAAGAGCCATGATAGTGATAATCAACGGAGACATACATTCGATCGGAAGTTGAAGAAAAAGACAACTCTAGTGAGCGAACGAGCGAACGAAAGAGAGAGAATATGTGTAAAGTGGAAGGGGAAGAGGTCGACGCGTGATAGGCGCAAGACGAGAGCCGGGCAGCGAAGCGCGTATCACGTACAACGTATCGCGGTACAACGGCACCCTTTTGCACGACGCGCCGGTACATACAGCCACACTTGGCCACATCGATTTTACTGGCTCGCTTGCACTCACACTCGGTCGATCCGTTCACCGAAGGAATGTCTCATATGCCTTCTCTCTTTCCCTCTCCATTCTTCTCTCTCTCTCTCTCTCTCTCTCTCTCTCTCTCTCTCTCTCTCTCTCTCTCTCTCTCTCTCTCTCTCTCTCTCTCTTTTTAGCGCAAAATCTCTTCTCTCCGTCAGTCACGCGGCGTTTCTTTCGGTCTTACTCCGTCGTCGAGTGAGTCTCTCCTTCCCCCTCCCTCTCCCCCTTCTTCCTCTGGGTCCGTGCTCGCCAAGCTTCGTCGCTTCGCCCGCTCCACCCTCTCCATCGTCGATCCTCCTTCCCCCCCCTTTCGCCGTCTCCGTTCGTCTCTCTGTTGTGATCGCGGGGCGGTAGCGCGGCGCCGCGGGGAGGTGAAGTGGTTGCACCTTTTGCCGCATCTCGGAATCTCGCTCGTTGCTCATTTGCTGTAGCGCGGGGGAGAGAGAGAGAAAAGGGGGGTGGAAGGGAGAAACAGAGGAATAGTGAGTGAGAGAGAGAGAGAGAGAGAGAGAGAGAGAGAGAGAGAGAGAGAGAGAGAGAGAGAGAGAGAGAGACCTCCAGCTAGGTAGTAGTAGTTGTGAACGGTACGGTGGTCGGACAGTTCCAGTTCCGTTTCGATTAGACGAGTCCACACGCCGGAATTTTTGGCTCGTGAAAACGTACGCGTAATGCTGTTTATCGTGGCCATTGACGGCACTCTGTGCTGCTACTGCTGCTGCTTCTGTTGTCGTCATCGTCGTGGTGGTAGTAGTAGTAGTACTAGTAGTAATAATAGTAGTAGTAGTCGTCGGTGTTCTTCCTCTTGTCTTCGTTGTTGTCATCGTCGCGTCGTTACTCATCAAAGAGCAGTGTGTCAATCGTACTACGTCAATTTCATGAGATTAAAAAGCTCGAGAAAGAACAAAACGAAGTGAGAGTCAAATTCGTCTGATTTATTTTTTCTCATCGGTGAAGGAAAAGGAGAGATAGAGGAAGAGAGAGGAAGAGAGAGAAAGAGAGAAACAGAAAGAAAGAAAGAAATGACGATGGCTTGACGGTGGTTATGGCTAACGTAGTAGGACTGTCGAATCATCATCATTATCATCATCTTCGTTATCGTCGTCGTCATCGTCTTCGTCGTCGTCGTCGTCGTTCTTATTGTTATTATTATCGTTATTGTTGTTGTTGTGATCGTTATTATTGTCGAAAACGAAAAGGAGAAAGAAGAAAAATCGGTAAGGAAAAAAGGGAAAAATAGGAAGAAATCGCGCTGCAGAAAAATTTTCGTGCAATCATCATCGTCATTGTCGTCGTCGTCGTCGTCGACGACACAACGAGAACGACTCGCCGGGAGTACTGTCGCCGTAGTATATACGCTGTTTCAAGCCAACTTGCGAACGCGGAACGCGCGCACGAGTACGAACACGAGCGAGCGAACGAACGACGAACGACGTGGGGGGGGGGGTGGAGAGGAAGAAGCATAGACAGCAGCCGGCTGCTTCTCTCCTCCGCTGCCCGAGAGAGGGACGATACCCGGCCCTCTAGCCCAGTTCCGGGCACGGTCGCTGATCCATCGATAAGGAAGTTTCCTGTTCTCTCAGACACACGGATCATCCTCTCGGTGCGTATTCGGCAAACGAGCGGAACGAGAACACATCTCCTCTGTGTGTCTACCTACTCCTCTGCGCACGAGATTCCTCGTCGTAAGGCGTCCCGTAGCACGTGAGCAGCGGCTCTCTCCCACTCTCCTCTAGTCTTCCCTCTTTCTCTCTCCCTCCCTCTCTATTTCTCTCTCTCTCTCCCTCCCCTTTCCTTTTTTCTTTATATCTTTTCGCAGAAAGAAGAAACTTGCAGGTAATAATTTTTCTTCTTTTCTAAACGCATCCTCGTATATATTTTTCTTACCGATTCTTTCCTTCTTCTTTTTTCATTTTTCATTTTATTTCCATTTTCTTTTGCATGTCGTACGTACTTAACGGATGCACGCACGCACGCACGCACATACTCGTGCCTCTAAGTTCTATCCTTCTTTCTCTCTCTCTCTCTCTCTCTCTCTCTCTCTCTCTTTTTCTCCTTTCTCTTTCTTTCTTTATTTATTTGCTCTCGGCATTCGCCCTAAAGCTTCTTTCTTCGTCGTGTGTATGCGACATGAACGTTAGGTTAGATCAGCACGGTTCATACACTCCAGCGCGTAGCCGCATCGCCGAAAGGTCCGACACCGCGGAATCCTCTCGCTCGCGTTGCCAATGCCTGGCCGCATACTGCGATCTGTGATTCGTCGAGTCGCTTTTCTCAGTGAATCGGATGCGTTCGTGTGATAGGACGACGGATTTCGAACCCTGCTGCTTCGAGATTCTCTCGTTCCTCTCCTTCACCACCTCTCTCTCTCTCTCTCTTTTCTCTTTTCTCTCCTCTCTCCCGCCTTCCCTCTACCTCTAGCCCTACCTCTCTCTTCTGTTTCTATCTTACTCGCTCTCTTTCTCTCTACATACGCTCTCTGTTACAGTGGCTCGGCGTCGATACTCGGTAAACATCCCGGTAGCAGTTCCTCCTTTCATCCGTTTTACCTTCTTCGCGAAAAGGCGAACAATTGTTTCAAGATGAGACGCGAATAATTTCCTCCTTTGTTCAGGGCTCATTTCGTACGTAAGTATCGCGATACTTCAGAGCCGGCTTCGAAGTTGATTTTTTTTTTTGTGTCTCGATGTCCTTTCTTTTTTACTTAGTATCCCTCATTTTTTCTTTCTTCTTTTTATATTTAATTAAAAAAATTTTTGTTTCGTTCATTCGTCGCGTATCTCTCTTTTTCTCTCTCTTTCTCTCTCTCGCACTTTTTTTACGTCGATAATAGATCTTTATTTTTAACGAAATAGGCACGAACAGAGATGATCGTCCCTTTAACATACTTTTTCACATGGAAATCTTGTCATCTTCATGTCCAGCATGTTCTTCTATATTACCCTTCGTCTTACGAAAATTGATAGATGTAAACTGACCAATATTATTACTGGGTAGCGTAGGATATTTCAAAATGACGACCAGCAAGCCGGTGTCGTCGTCGTCGTCATCGTCGTCTATATTCGCATTTTAAAAATGCGAGAGGTTCGCTTTAAAATATTCAAATGGCGTAGACGTTGAGTGCGTGTCCTCTATCGATCGTAGGAGTGGTGTATTAACGACGAAGGCACCGAAGTTACACGAAGGATTTATACTCTCTCTCTCTCTCTCTTTCTCTCACTCTATTAAAAATGTTGTCATCGCTAAGGGATTGTAATTTCATGAAATACATATATAAAAATTGTTAAAGAATATTCGATTTTATTTCGCGGCTAACTTCAGTACAAAAAAAAAAAAAAAAAAAAAGAAAAAAAAAAAATGCCATCATTATGTTACTTCTCTTATTTATTAATAAGATTGACGATTGTGTGTCACTTCGTACATACATTGCGTTAAACATGATGATAGTTGAAACGTATCAACGAGATTTCTTCGATAATCGTAAATCGAATGTTTTCGATTAGTATCTCGAAGTCCCTTTTATCTCGAGTTACGACATATACATTGTAAAGAGAAGACACATCGACAGATAGACAGGACAGATGGACAAACAAACAAGCACGTCCATCTTTTTTTCTTTCTTGTTTTTTCCATATATTATATATATATATATATATTTTTTTTTTTATCGAACCGAGATGGCATCGATGTTAGCACCAGAGCAGCAATGCCTTTAATTCTGAGTTATAGAGCGTGCGCGCATATGTGTGCGTGTTGCATGCTATGGATGTATGTACGTACATGTGTGTGTGTGTGTGTGTGTGTATGATGTATATATGTATGTATGTATGTATACGCGATGGTGGCAGAGAGCGTGGAATTCGAACGTGTGCGTTCCGCCTGGCAAACGCGCAAACGCGTGACCGCGTCCATGAGGACTTACCATTAATCCGGGTTCTTAACCGCGCACGGGAGTAAACGTGGCTGACACGCCGGTCCCCGATGATGATGATGATGATAATGATGATGATAATAATAATAATAATAATAATAAGAATAATAATAAAATAATAATAATAAAATAATAATAACAATAATAATAATAAGAAGAAGAGAATCGCTGCGCGTAATTTATCGTCTTACCGACGTCATCGGCCGTATGACGTGAATAGTTTTGCCTTCTTCCTCCTCCTCTTTCTCTTTCCCTTCTCCTCCTTCCCTCCTTCCCTCAATTTGTAGACGCGTACGATAAAGAAAAGAAACCTGGCTATAATAACAAGATATATATATGTATGTGTGCTATGTATATACAATATATATATCTCAGTATTTGCTCCTCGAAGGAGAATTCGGAAGCGAACTTGTAGTGAAACTGCCCCCTCGTGGTGCGTCGGTTCTGCCTGCTGCTGCTGCTGCTGCTTCCCGATCCGACCGACGACGACGACGACGACGACGCAACCACTCCTCCGCCATCGAGTTCTTACCTCTCATCCCCTCCCCTCCTTACCTCCTCGTTCCCTCCGAACTCGAAATCTCCCCACCCCGAGTCTATCGCTTGAGTTCCTCCTTCTCTTCCCCTCGTTCCTACTCTGGTCTCTTCTCGTTTCGTCGCCGGTGCCTTCCCTGCTGTTGAGAGAGAACCCTCTCCTCCCTTCCCCTTTGCCCTTCCGTCCGTCCGTCCGTCCTCCCCCCTCCCTCCCTCCCTCCCTCCCTTCCTCTCTCTCTCCCGCCCGCCCGCCTGCTCTCCTCTTCTATAGTCCTCCATTTTGTCGTGATTCCTCTAGCTCCGAGCGTATATCGCACATTTTGCTCGCACGGTGCTATTGACTTTTACGTAGGAATCGTGCGCGAAAGTGTGCCTATGTTTGACATACTGCCGATCCGCGCAAACCGAGAGCACGACTATGGGACTCCACCATAGGCTGCCTTGGAAGGTGTCACTCTCTTTCTCTTTCTTTCTCTTACTCTCATATCTATCCATTTATCTATCTATCCTTCTCTCATTTTCCCTCCCACTTTTCGTTTCTCTATATATCTCTGTCTTTCTCTCTCTCTTTCTCTCTCTCTCTCCATCATATTTGCTCTCCACTTCGTCTCTTGTACTCGCTCCCCTTCTGTCCAGTGCGCGTGTTCCTTCTCTCTCGCACAATGTCGTTCCTTTACTCCCTCCTCTTTTTCTGCATGATTCTGTCCTTCCAGGTTTATTCCCCTCGGTAAATTGTGTCTTTTAACAACATGCGAATTGCGTTGGCCGATAGACAGCACGTTAGTGCCAACTACACAAAGTGTAACCCTCTTTAAAATACTCATTTTTCGTACATCTTCTACGTTTCGTCTCTGTTCCGGCCGCCGTACCGTTCCTTCACTTTGACGTTAATTCTCGGGCGGTAATGTCAGGCTTTTCCGCATCTTTTCCATGATGCGGTGGTGAAACTCGATCGGATAGTAGTGCCGTGCTATCTCCTTTTTATTACATTCCTCGCGTCATCGTTTTGCCGAATTTTTCCGTCCGATCAGTTGGTTCGTTATCGTGTATCTTTGTAAATCGTTCTTATTTTTACCATTAAGAAGGATTTTATTAATATTCTTTGTCTTCTTTCAGATGTCTGCTGGGTCACAAATTCAGATGGCACCCCAATCAACCGTAAACTCTGGTCAGTCGGTTCATAGTCAAGACTCGAACATGAGTACCGGTAAGTCTAATGATTTTTTACTTTCAAAGAATCTCTTAGTGACTTTAAGTAAATGTTGTCTTGATCTATATGTTCTTAAGTGATATGTTTTCTCTGATCGACAAATTATACTTGTCATAGTATCTTCTCATTTTTAAATAGAAATATCTCTTAGAAATGTTAAAGTATTCGAATCCAATGAGAGATTTATTATTTATATCACAGCGATTTCTTATCTTTTCAATGTATGATGATATATATCAACTTTGATCACAAAATTTCATTTTGTGGATAAATTTGTAATTCATTGTAGGCTCTTCGCATAGTGATAAGGAGGTAGATCCAAATACTCCAGAAAAAATACCAAGAACTCCTTCTGAAAGGAAAAGAAAACGTAAAGCTGATGATGGTGGTGGGGGGGTTCCAGGAGGGCCGGTGGGTAGCAAAGGAACTAGGTCTGTTGCTGCTTTAGACAACAAAAAAATCAACGAATATTTTTCAAAGCACCATCTTGGTAATAGTCCTATTCGACACGGAGGAGCTAAAAGTCCTTCTCCTCAACAGGGATATCCTATGGTAATTATCGTTCAATACATTTCAAATATATCTGTTTTTATTGCTTTATTTCTAATGCTGAAGTAATATAATATAAATAACATGATATTGTTAACTCTGTTTTATTGAAATTTATCATATACTGTAAATTTTCATTTCAATAGTATCCTCCATCGCCTCAACAACCTTTTTCACCTCAAGTAACGACGCCTAATTCCTCGGTGGCGGAATTTTCGTCCTTGATGCAACCACCAAGGCCTCATCCTCAACCTCCACCTCTTCCACCACCGTCTTCGACGCAACCTGCAGGCTCGATGGTCAGCAAGCAGGTGCAGGTAAGGCCTACCAACCTCAGTAGGACAAGCCAGGTCAGGCAAGCGAAGACTAACACCCCAAATGTAAGCAAAATTCGGTAATACTTGCGAGCATTTTATAAGAAAAGCCCTATTAATGTATTCCTTAAAATTCCTTAATATAATTATATGTTTGTTACAATGTTTCTGTAATTAATAGTGATATTGGTAAAACACTTTGTTAACATGATGCCTCTACTTGAGATTTCTTAAATGTTCTATTAAATGTATTAGGAGGTATTATAAAACACAAATATAAGTGAATTGGCAAAGGTGATTAATAACAAAATTTATTATTAGTAATGATTATGATGATGTTAGTAGTTCCAATGAAAAAATGATTTAAAAATGCTATCATCATCGTACTCATTGGGTCTTTTTTGTAGTTTTTTAATAAGATCAGTTTACTATCAATACTTATTAAAGAACATTTATACAAAATCATTATATGTATTATTTATAATATCATGTGTAAAAATGATGTGTAAGCATAAAAAGGATGTTTCTTGTCGAATGTTCGCAATAACTTGTACGAATTTTTAATCAGACTGTAGCACTGTATCCATTTGTTATCATACAAATGCAGGCTACCTTGTAATGTCGCTCCTTAATCCAACAAAAATTCTTATTTTGCATTTAATTGGTCAAAGTTATTTCATATTTCGTCGTCATTTTCATTGTAAATTTGTTAATAGGGGTGTATGTTTTTTATCTTGGCATTCCTGTATGTTTACATTTTAATAGATCATTTAATTTTTGTATGCTTGATTTCTGATGGGTACAATTTTATTATTATATAGAGAGGGCTATGATTAAATTCAAAATTTTTTTGTGATAATTAGTATTTGTCTACTATTTAACATACGCATACATTTTAGGTGTTTTCCTTGCTGCCTGTAATTTTGTTATATTAATATCTTTGGGTTTTGCTCTACATTTATTTCAAATAACTAACATATTGATATTTTTTATATTTTATTCTATAAATTTTGCTAAAATAATTCTTTGAATCATCTTTTTGAGTTCCTAACGATATAAACAAAAGAAATATAGATTTGTTTCTTTTTATTTGTTACATGTTTTTTGCTCTATCTGGGTGCAGCAAGGTATCTGGTGTTTCTAATCAATGCTGACAAATGTATCAGATGTTACAGTTAATTCTTTGTATTTATTATAAAATATGTAAATTATATATTCCAGACAGAACTAACTTGCCAGAGGATACAGGAATTTGAAACTCAAGCCTCTTCGGATTTAGAACTACGTAATAACAAAATTGATGAATTAAATAGAGTAAGTAAAAAGTTTATGCCATCGCAATATGTGCAATGAAAATGACTGTTCTTGATATTTATTTCAATATTAATTATGTCAACATATATATATACGTATTCTTTTTACAGACGACAGATGAACTTAGGCATCAAATGGCTAATCAACAAAAAATTATTGAGCAGCACAAATCCCATATAAATAAGTGTATAGACGTTGTAAAGAAGTTATTAAAAGAAAAATCAAACATAGAAAAAAAGGAGGCTAGGCAAAAGTGTATGCAAAATAGACTGAGGTTGGGACAATTTGTGACACAGAGGGTAGGTGCGACGTTTCAAGAAAATTGGACGGATGGTTATGCATTTCAAGAATTAGCTCGAAGACAAGAAGAAATTGCAACCGAGCGAGAAGAGATTGATAGACAGAAGAAATTGTTGCTCAAAAAGAGGCCATCCAATAGTGAAACAAGTAGGAAGCGTAGTCAGCCACAACCTTCTTTGCATAATGGAACTGAAGCTACATTCTTAAAACCAGATGCTGTACCTGGTTCTTATACGTGGCAAGAGTATTATGAAGCCGATGAAATACTCAAGGTATTTATTTATATATATATATTTCTTTGAGAATAAACAACAATAAATATGGATCAATATAATTTTTAGTTGCGGCAAAGTGCGTTGAAGAAAGAAGACGCAGATTTGCAATTAGAAATGGAAAAATTAGAAAGGGAACGAAATTTACACATCAGAGAGTTGAAGCGTATTCATAATGAGGACCAATCGCGATTCAATTCTCATCCTGTATTGAATGAACGTTACCTTTTACTAATGTTATTGGGAAAGGGTGGTTTCAGTGAAGTGCATAAGGTATTAAACATAATTTTGATATATATTTTTTCAAGAATTTTATGATCCACTTTCATCTTCTTTTATTTTATACATTTTATTACTTTCTTAACGCAGGCATTTGATTTAAAAGAGCAACGGTATGTCGCTTGTAAGGTGCATCAATTAAATAAAGACTGGAAAGAAGATAAAAAGGCTAATTATATAAAGTACGTAAAAAATCGAATGACATTAACTACAAATAACATAATATAATATAATATATATATTTATTTATTATATTATCCTTATTTATAATATACATAACATATTTAACATATTCTTTACTAAAAATAGGCACGCATTACGGGAATATAACATACATAAAGCTCTTGATCATCCACGTGTTGTAAAATTGTACGATGTGTTTGAAATTGATGCCAATTCCTTTTGTACTGTCTTGGAATATTGCGATGGACATGATTTAGATTTTTACCTCAAACAGGTACAAATAGTATTTTCTTTTTTGTACTTTTTTTTGTTTTGATTTTTTTTTATTTTTATAATGGATCGGATTAAGAAAAGTTATATTTGTCCTTTGATAGCATAAAACTATACCAGAAAGGGAGGCAAGGTCGATCGTCATGCAAGTAGTATCGGCATTAAAATATCTTAATGAAATAAAACCACCGGTCATACATTACGATCTAAAGCCAGGTTTGTGCGAATTAAAGCATTCCACTTTATAGTATTAAAGCATTAAAACAATGTATTTTATATATTATCTTTTTTATAGGTAATATATTACTCACAGAAGGTAATGTCTGTGGAGAAATAAAAATTACTGACTTTGGATTGAGTAAAGTTATGGATGAAGAAAATTACAATCCTGATCATGGTATGGACCTTACATCCCAGGGTGCTGGTACTTATTGGTACGTATTTTTGTTCATTATTTTCTTATCAAAATAAATACTTCAAATGTTTGTTTATCCAATGTAAAATTGATTTATTAGGTACCTTCCACCCGAATGTTTTGTCATTGGAAAAAATCCTCCCAAAATATCATCAAAAGTTGATGTATGGAGCGTGGGGGTTATATTCTACCAATGCCTTTATGGTAAAAAGGTAATTTAAATTAATAATTCAAATCAAATCCATTATTGTCAAATAGTAATATTGTTAGTAAAAACGATATTTAATATTTCACAGCCATTTGGACACAACCAATCGCAAGCTACAATTTTAGAAGAAAATACCATACTGAAGGCGACTGAAGTTCAGTTTGCGAATAAACCAACCGTTAGCAACGAAGCAAAGGTAGGGATTGATCGAATAATACTTGAAAGAGATATTGTTTTTCTCATCATAGAGATCAGTATTTTATTGGGATTGTGTTACAGAGTTTCATAAGAAGCTGCCTAGCGTATAGGAAAGAAGAACGTATAGATGTACTGACACTAGCTAGACACGAATACCTGCAACCTCCTGTGCCAAAACATGGCCGTCAAGCGAACAGTCAGCAACAGCAGCAACAACAACAAATTCAGCAACAGCAGCAGAGCTCCTTTACTGTTGGCATGTTTAGTGGTATGAACGCGTCGAGCAGTTCGTAGTGGAAATGGACTAAAGACGAATATCTTCGATATGCTATTACATGCCAAATCTTGAGCACTGAACTGCGCACCATCTCATCTTAGGAAAATAACGATCGCTATAACCAATTGTAAATACTAAACCGGATACTATCACCATCACTACCACCACCTTCACCGTCATCACCACCATTACCACTACCATCACCACTACTACCATCATTACTACCACCACACCACCACCACCACCATACCGCCACAACTATACTTACAGGTCGTCTCATAGGACATTGCAAGAGAGATGCGAGACTGGTCGTCGCAAGTCCAGAAGCTTGCGTCTTTCTACAAGCCACGCTACATTATTCAGCATAACAAAAATGTTGTGTTCGTAAATATTCAATTGTATTATCGTTCCTTGTATCAAAACAGTGGGCTGACTTGATAATAGTGTTTAAAAGAATGGAAGGAAACGGATAAACATGTGATAAGTCATTGTGAATTAAAAAGTGAAGTTTAAACTAAAGAGGAGAGTAAGCGAAAAGGATATAAAAGATGATGGAATCCAGTGGAAGTGATTTACTCGGTGAAAAGGGAAAGAGAAAGGGAAAAAGAAAAAAAAAAGAAAACAGAGGGCAACGAATGATAAAAATGCAGCGCGTCAAAAGAGTAAGAGACTGTGCTCTTGCGGAGACGTTCCTCTCTTCTGAAGTTACGTATGCGTGAATGAGTGTGATGAAAGATTGTTAAATCTAGCGTGCGTGTATATATTTATACTATATATATATATACTAATAAATCCGATATAATATATATATATGGTGTAAAGAAAAAGGACAGCATTGACAGTGGGAAGACAACTGTGGTGGCTCTATCCTCGCATGACCTCCGTGCAGTCAGGTATTCCATGAATACTTGACTACACATCATGTTACTTTATTCAAATATTAACATTATTACTTATATCATGACTAATAACAATTAACATACATAAACACGAGGAGATTTGGTTGGTTGTTCCTATTCTGAAACGAGTGGGCTTTACCTATACTGGAACGATTAGTTTGAGAATTAAATGGAAAGAGTGGCGATGCTCCCAAAGTATAAAAACAAAAAAAATCGTATAGGATCACGGTCCACCACTTGCACCCCCCTCCCTTCACCTCCCGTTCATAAATATATTTTAAATTGAGAATTTTCTAACTCGCGGTTAAAAAACGTGTTTTTCCTTTCTAATCGTGGACACATCAACATATTATTGCGGCCATCTCCGTGCTAAATCAATTCGTATTTATCGGGCATTAAAATTTGTAAGGTAAGAATCGTAATATTGTACCGACCTGATCATTATTTCTTTACTCATAATTTGTTTTATATATGTACGTTATATAGAGATAATTATGAAATAGAAGACTAAGTTATTTTATCAAGTGCCCTTGCTTTGTATTATAGTCGTGTCTGTCGACAAACTGCAGCTTTGGGGAGTAATAGAAAGAAGTTGTTAAAATGTTGTAAGTTGTTGGTACAATGTGGGCACGGTATTGATGACACAATACCAACGTGATTGGCAAAGTATGGTCAGAGGAGAATACATTACAAGTCTGAACAGAGTCTGCTACTAGATCCATCGCTTAATATTTTAAAAGCCAATCAACTATTTCCCTTTCCTTTCTCCTACACTCTTCTTTAATAACTAATCCTATTATTCAAGAAAAACGCATACTTATTATTTCTTTTTCTCAAACACGCTAAAAATGGCTTTTCATTAAGATTAAGTTACAAAATTGCCTCAGAGATTTCTTATTTATATTTTTTAATACTTTTTAAAGCTAATATTTATTCAAATAAATTGATTCTTTTTAAACAATTTATTCATTCTTTATAAAATATGCACTTTATTAGAGATTAATGATAAATATGTATTATTAGATATCATTAAGAAATCAAAAATAATCAATATATTCGTATAAATATTGACTTTGAATTCAGCCTCTCTGTCGCATTAAATCATGTATTACATATTTTTATTTCTTCATTGAATATAAAGATTTTCTGTTCTTGAAGAATATCGGAAAGCCTTTTTTAGATGACAAAAATATTCACTTTTTCTTTTTTTTTGCAAATAAAACTAAGCAAGTGGAAATCATAAATTATTCTTAAAAAAAAAATCCATTAAGTAAACATATACTTTTGCAAATTTGATCCGGTAACTTGTATCGAGAAAAGAGGATTAAATGAGCAATTTACTTTACATCTTTTACAAAAGCCATTAATATGCATTTATTCAAATCAATATCAGAGGTAGCGTTTATGTTCTGCGGAAAGAACAATTTTGCATTTGTATATATCGAAGAACTTTAACAACGGATAATAAATTAATAAATAACGCGTGCATTCGTGTATTGGAGAAAAGTTATATATATATAAAAAAATCCGAGACGTTTTTTTTACTAATAATTCAAAATATACACACACAAACGAATTAGAATATATGATCTTTTTTTGTGGAGTGAACTACAAGATAGTATTAATTTCATAGAGCAAAATTGTAATTCGAGTACAGTCGGGTAAAGTATTATTATCGTAAATGACACGACAGCCATCGCAATATAAATAACATCGGATATTTTTTATCGCCCTTACGTGTTAGCATAGTCATGATCTTTCTCATAATTACCAACAGGAATTGTGTCGAGGATGGTGTATGAAACGTTATAGCAATAAAATTACGTATTTGTGTATAATTTAAAGTTAGTAAACTTATTGATTACATACAATACTTGTATCAGAATATATATATATACACCCTATTTTATCGAAAAAAGAAAACAGAACATACACCTCACATATATATATTTTAAAATACCGGAATTCTTTTTAAGAAACAAAAATTGAATTTTTTTTTATAGTTAAATATATTTATTGCTCTATATCTAGTTAGAGATTACTCGCACACTTTTTATTTGTCATTAAAATCTTTCAAATCCCTACTTTGCTATTTGTATGCAATTCTTTGATATTTTAATTCATACTTCAATATTAAGAAATTAATATATTTTTTAGAAAGAAACAGAATGAAGATAATCGTAAAGGGATAAATTTTAGGAGTAAAAAGGAATTTTATAGCAGTGCAGTATCCACAAGATATGGAAGAATGGGATCTTCATTTGATAACGGGAAGCTACTATGTACAAGTAGGTAATGACAATATTATCGTTTAAAATAATGAAGAACTTTTTATTAAAGTAAAATTTTTAAGGTGTAGAATAAAATATTCGCAAATTGTGCGAAATTTTCGAAAGTTTTTCCAAAAAAGAATTAAGAGATTGAAAGGATTTTAATAATAGCTCTTTGCATTTTTACGATAGTGTGTGACGAAAGTAATAAAAATGGAAATATGAAAATGTCCATATATTTTATTACATGTATGGCGCATTAATTATATAGGAGTAATGTTACTCAATAATGTCATGTGTGTAAGAACGTCATCCTTATCAAATAATCTCTATTACTTTTATAAGGAGAAGCAAAATTAAAAGATACAATAATGAAAAATAAAAGATTCATTATCTATTTAGTTTGTTTTGTATATCATAAATGAATATTACATACACATGACATAATGGATTGTGCGCCGTGTTTTCTTACAACATTTCAATGAGTTATACAATGTTAATTTAATATTAAATCTAAAGTTTTTAATTACCTACACGTTTGTGTAATGAGCTTAGAGTATACTGTTGTCTTTGTTCTGCACATAGTCGTCCATTGGATAAAACTTTGAAATCAGTTTAAAATGATTTTGAACATGATGTTCTCTTACTCTATGCCCACATACAATTAATTATAATTACAATATTCATTGCAACTGTGCCTTCTTTGACATTTCCAAAGACGTAAGAAACCACAAAAATACTAAAACTTGGCCTCCATGCCAATTCAGATCTACCTTTTCTCTCTCCCTTAATTTATATAGGCAGTCTTCGTAATTTACAGTTTTTTCTTTTTTTCTTTCTTTTTTTCTTTTTTGAGAAATTTACCACGTTAATACAATTAATCTGAATCACTTTCTTCGTCCGATTTAAGTGCGTAAGAAACTGGTTTCCGATTACGTGCACTATTTTTTCTTATGGGTACTACAGGCGATGATTCCACTGTATTCTCGCTTTCGGAGTCTGATTTTTTCATCCGTTTTTTATTCTATAAAAATAAATATTTAAAAATAATACAATTTTGTTGTACTATGTAAGAGTATAACAATTTGTAAAAATACGTACAGGTTTCGTTTTAGTCGCTAATGAATTATCATCATTTTCAGAATCTGAAGATTTGAGTTTCTTCTTCAATTGACGCTTCGTTGCCTTTGCACCCCCATTTTCAGCTTTTTTCTTCGATGGAACTAAAGTGATATTATATTGAAAATAAAATTAAAAATGTGTAATACATATATAACGATATTTTAAATATAAGTCGCATTAATTTTACCTTTTTTTGGTGGTGTAAACATTACCAAAGAACTATCTTCACCTGAAGAAGATATAACAGGTTTTTGTGATTTGTCAGGAGTATTTCCAACTAAACTATCAAAAAGTTCCTCTGGACTCGCTGTAATAAAGAAATTAATAAACCTTGATGGAATATTGAGATAATTCATAATAATTTATGTAGTTAAAAATAATATTATTTAAGTTGATTAATATATTAATAAAAAATGTGTTTAATCACATTTAGGTGGCGGTGGTTTCTTGTCTATTTTGAAATCATCATCAGAATCGCTAAGTGCTATTGTAGGAGGTTTCGGTTTCCTCCTAAAAAAAAAAAGTTATAAAAATTTCGATCATTAATAGTCTTCGTATAATAATTTTGATATATTTTTTAATATTATGACGTTGAATATCGTTAATTAAATTATTTAATCTATTTTTTTTATTTATTTCATATTAAATATAATTTTCGAATCAACATGCATACTCACACTTGTTCAGAATCAGATGACAAACTATAAAGATTTTCACTAGCAGCATCCGATTCGTCACTACTAAGAGCATAATTCCTTTTAGCTGCAATTTAAATAGAAAGTCAATTTTAAAATAAACATTAATTTGTTAAATAAATATTATATATTAAAATATATTTTAATAAAGTATATAATTTTTTCATACATGCAGCTGCTCTTCGTGGCGAACGCACTGGTGAAATACTATCAAAATCAATTTCGTTACTGTCAAATTCGTTGCTATCGGAATCTGAATCCTTCTTCTTTGATTTCTTCAAAGGTTTAAATGACAGTGTTGTCTGTTTCATTCCTAATTATCAAAAAATATTGTAAAAAATATATATAAAATTAATCTAATCATAACTTTCTGTAATAGTTTAATATTATATAAAAAAAGTCACTTCACCTTTTTTAGCACCTGATTTTTTCTCAACTTTAATATTGAGTTTCTCATCGATAGGTTTATTAGATTCCACGAGAGCATCAAACTCATCTTTTTCTTCAGTTAGTTCTTTTTTAATCTATAAAAGATTAAATATAATGTAAAAAAATAAAAAAGTAAAAAAAAATAAAAGAAACATCAATATAATTTTGTTAATAAGTAAGAAAGACTTACTTTTGGCTGTCTCTTAATTCCTTCTTTTTTGTCCTTTGATACAATATCTGCCTTTTCTATTTTCTTTTTTAATTCAGTATCAATTACAGGGACTATTCTACGAGTATCCTCTTGTTTGTAGAACTTTGCTGGTGGTTTTTTGATATTTTGACGTGATTTATTTTCTTCTTTCTTTTCTTTCTCTTCTACCTAAAAATCAAATATAAATATAAGAATAATTTTAATACTATCTAAATTGTTACGATTAAATAATATAGACATATAATTACTTTATTTAATTCGCTTAGTAAATTATCCAAATCTTCTTTCCAAAGAGAAATAGGTGTACGAGCTTGCAATCTCTTTAATTCTGCTATTTTTTCATCTCTTTGACGTAGGATATCATCCTTTTTCTCTTTTGTCAAGGACCACAGAGTCATGCCCAAAAGATAATCGAAATTATTTTTTTGTATCATAGCTGATGAGGATGGTGTATCTTCAGTTATTTCTTCAGCAACTTCCTCCTAAAGATTAGTAAAAAATGAAGTTATTATCCATATGTAGATATGTATATACCATTATAAGAGATCAACAGATAAATACAAGTGATTTTTTGTCTTATGACTTACTTCATCTTCCTTTTGTAGCAATAAATATATTTGATCAATATAGGCATATGCATTTATGATATTTATTTAATACATAAACTATGTATTATATGATTACTTACCAAGACTGCTTCTCTATTTTGAGTTAATTTCCATGCAAGGACAGGATCAGATTCGTAATTACGTCTTGCTAATTCAGCTATCATATCTTTTTTCTTTTTATTTTCAATTACCAAGGTACCATCACATTTTTCTAGAATAAAGCGAGCTTGATTTGATAATTTTCCTGCTTCTGCTTGCAAAATACCCTCTAAATAATCTTTCCTTTTATGATACGCTTCCAATCTAATTTTGTAAAAATTCTTTAATATTTGAGTGACACTTTCATATTTCTGAAGACATCGATTTTCATCAAATGCACACTACAATAAAAATATATGTTGTTTGCTCTTATTCTTTACAATAAATCTTAGAACAAATGTTAATATATTTTACCATAGATGTTATAGACATTGTCGATTGCAATTTAAAAGCTTTATGAAGACCATCTCTTTCTAATTCCAGTAATTTATCACGATTTAATATTACTATAAAATGTACAGTTGTATCTGTGTAATATTCTTTATAATCTCTGTAGAAATCAAAAATGTGTAAAAATAAACATATATGTAAACTGTACAATATATTATTTTTATCAATATATGATATAACTTACGTAATAACTGCAGGTGTTTTTTCAGTGCCATGTAACATAGGTTCTAATACTGTCTCTTTGTAAGTTTGTGTCCACATTCCAATTGGAAGTTCTGTAATTTCTACTTTGTCTGGTCCTATTACAGATATTTCACCGCTACAGATATAACGATACTCTCCACAAGTTTCAATTACACCCGTAAAATTTTTGTAGTATGGTATCTACAAAACATAATTATAAATTATAGATTGAATATTAATAGATTTTTACAAACTTATTATTTTTAAATATTACCATTGGTTTAGGATCTCCACCCTCCATCATACGGAATAAATTTTCTATGATTTCACGAGGATTATAATTTGGAATTTTTGTCATCCATCCTGTACCTATACCATCTGCACCATTTACCAATACCATTGGTATTACAGGAACATAATATACTGGCTCAATTTTTTGATTATCATCATATTCATGTGCAAGAAGTGGATCGTCGTGTTTATGAAATATAAATCTTGCTAGTGGACTATAAGTAGAAATATATATATAAATATAATAAAATTATAATTTTTGTTTAATGTTACATATCAACATAATTTTTGATCAAATATACAAACCTAAGCATCGTGAAGATATATCGAGCACTTGCAGCATCTTTACCTCCTGTAAGTCTTGTACCAAACTGACCAATAGGCTGAAGTATGTTGATATTGTTACTTCCCACAAAATTTTGAGCCAAGTTGATTATAGTAGCCATAAGAGACACTTCACCATGATGATAAGCCGAATGTTCCGCAACTGAACCAGCTAACTGTGCAACTTTTACTTCACGTTTATCATTACGTTTCAAACATGTAAAAAGTACTTTTCTTTGTCCAGGTTTAAATCCATCCACCATACTAGGTATAGATCGCACGTTATCATAATTACTATATAGCACTAATTCAACATTTATAAAGTCTGAAAAAGATACTGTACGAGTATCTTTCTCATAAAGATAACGTTCACCTAAACCAATCTCTTTCCGTCTCTTTGTTTCGTCCATATGATTCACTAACCATTCTTTACGTTGATCAACACATTTTTTACTAAATGCCATAATAATATTTTGATCATCTTGATCACCATCATATCGAAACCGAATTCTGTGTCTGGTCATATTTTCAAAGTACTCCTTTGCCTCTTTGGCAGTAGAAGTACCCAAACCTATTTAGAATAATTTAAATGTCTATATATATTGTTTCTTATAATATAAAAAGATACAAACTGTAAAAATGAAAACCTTTGTAGTATTTGATTTTATATGTATGAAAATTCTCTGTTTCTTTTTTCCATGCTTCAAATTCTGGCAATGAAAAGAATGATAATACTTGATTTCCTTTTGATGCCTTTACGATTGGTGTAATGAATTCTTCAATGAAGTTAAGTTTTAGTAAAGATGGCCAATTGTGATGAATAAAATTAATTAAAAGACCCTTTATATGTGAACCATCCTAAAGATATATATATATAATATAACATTCTGTAAACATATTACTTGGCTTATCGAATGCAATAAAAGTTTTAAAAAATATGTACCAACCTGATCTTGATCAGTCATAATCATCATTTTACCATAACGAAGTGTTTTAAGATCATCCCGAGATTCATACTTTTTTTTATATTGAAGACCAAGAATTTTTATCAAATTGTTGATCTCTGCATTTTCCAAAATTTGCTTATGCGTTGCTTCTCTTACATTCAATATTTTACCTATGATGAATATATGTAAATAATTATAAAAATGATAATATAGAACTTATAATTTTTATAAAGTATTAGACGTACCTCTTAATGGAAATATACCATACTTATCTCTACCTACAGCAGCTATTCCTGATACAGCCATTGTTTTAGCTGAATCTCCCTCAGTTAATATTAGAGTACATTCTAATGATTTATTTGTTCCAGCATCATTAGCATCTTCCAACTTAGGAATACCTTAAAATAATTCATACTTTAATATGTTAGTACTATCATATTTAATTACATTTTAATATCTTTTTTGTAATACATTTATTATGAAATTGACGTAATTTAATGAATAACACCTTGAAGTTTTCTTTGTTTTGATTTAGGTCCCAATTTTTGCAGTTGGCTATCAGCCTTAAATTTGGCCCATGTTAAAACTGATTCTACAATGCCAATTTTCATTACCTATAAATCAATTAAATGATTATACAAATATTATTAATTTGTATAAATAAAACCATACTCATAGTATATTACATAATACTCACAGTTGTAATGAATTTATCAGTTAATACACATTTAGAACCAAAACTTTTTTGTTGTAAAGTCATGTGTTCCTTAGTCTGGGAATCAAATGAAGGATTATTGATGAGACAATTTATAAAAATCCATAAATGATTTTTGATTTGGAATGGTTTGATGGTTATTCCAGCTTTGTTTTTCTTTTTTAAAGTTTCTGTCAATTGTTTTACTATTAAATCTGTAACATGGTCTACATGGCGGCCACCCTGTTGATTAAATTAATAGTATAATAAATTTGATTTTATATGTTGATGTTATATTTACAAATATATAAAAAAATGTATAGAAAAATTTTAATAAATAAAGAAAAATATATGTACCTTCGTCGTTGCAATACTATTTACAAATGACATTTGCTGGAAACCTTTGTCAGATAAAGTTACTGCTACTTCCCAACGAGCTCCACAAGCTTCATAAGCTATTTTCAATGGGTTACCAGTATCATCTTCTTTTCCTTTAATATAACAATCGACATAATCTTTAAAATTTTTCACAGGTACTCTAACGCCATTAAGATAAACTTTCACGCCTCTTGTAGATGCTGCTACATCATATGCTCGACGCGACATAAGAGATACTATATCATCATCTAAAGAATCCATTTTGAATTTTGATAAATCTGGAGAAAATGTTACTTTTGTAAAATCTTCTCCATGAAAATCTTTAATTCGAGGTTCACTGGCTTTCCCCATATTATCACCCCATGTCTACAAAACAAACAGATTATTGAGTTTTTATGTTTTAATAAAATCTCTATAACATTACAATTATCATATTTGATATTCTATCAATGTTACTCACTTGTTTTAAACATTTTTTATATTCTTTAGATGCAGTTTCAACAGTGAAACGATGACTAAAAATATTACACAATTTTGCACCATAACCGTTTCTTCCTCCAGTTACTTTTTCTTCCTCATCATCGTAATTTGATGATGTTAATAAATGGCCAAAAATCATAGTGGGTACATACATATTCTCTTCCTTGTGTATCACAACAGGAATTCCTTTTCCATTATTCCAGACAGATATAGTATTATTTTCTCTACAATGCGATTATATATATATATATATACATATATATATGCATAATGTTTCTTAAAATAATTCTGTAGAAGACATAAATTTATTAATATTTATTTACGAAGTATACTTACGCATCTATATCAACCTTAATAGTATCCATTTTTGGATCTCGTTGCTTATTATCAGCGGCATTTACCAAAATTTCATCAAATATTTTATATAATCCAGGAACAAATTTGATATCTTTTTGTATCATCATTTCTTTTTCTTTGTCATAAACCCACATAAGTTCAGTAGTGCTTTCAACAGATCCAATGTATGTATCTGGACGCAATAGAATATGCTCCAGTTGTGTTTTCTTCTGGTAAATTCCTTCAATGGTCTTTTTCTTGAGATTACCAGGTTGATTTCCATTTTCAACAGCTGTACTCATTTTAATGTGATATGTTTTTATGTACCTGTAAATTCATATAAAACAAAATAAAGAATTGACTATTTAATACAAGAAGGTTTATATTAAATAGTCAATATAAATCTCATATATACATTATTATTTTACAATATGAGTACCTTTTATTTTCTATAAATGAACATAAATTTCATATGTTCTATGATTGCGGCAAAAGCAATGATTTAGTATAATTGATTATAACAAAATAATAATTATGTATAATTAACAATAAACTTAATAATAAAACTAATTAATGATTTAATTCATATATATTATATGTGTATCCTTAGTTCTCAAATGACATTTTATATCAAATCTGACTCAATAAATAAAAATCAATTAATCACAGCTCAATTACAGTAATTATTATCAAGAGATGCCACAGACAAAAAAAATCGTAATTAATCCTTGCGTTTTCTTAGGCTCGAACCAAGAATTTTATTTACTAAATCATTTCCTACCCTAAATAAGTCTTAATAATATGGCGGGAAAATGTCTTCATCTAATTGGCCAAGAACTCCAGGGGACGCCAATTTGCAAGCAAACACCTGCTTTTTGAAAACGAAAGGTACACAGAAAAATACATAAAATATAATGAGGATTCATATACGTCGCAAAAACTAGAAAATTATTCTTCACATATCTCACCTTTAGTGTTTTTGCCTTAAAAATTCGTTTGGTGAAGTAGCGTCGGTAACGGAAAGTCGTATAATCACACGATGCCATTCATTGTGGTTATAATTAATGATTGGCATAGCACAGGCACTGATACTCATCCGGTACACCGTAGCCGATATAACTTTCTTCCTTTATATCAATAATATATTTACTTAAAGATAGTATTAAACTTAATTGAGGCCTTATTATTTTTTTTTACTAACTTTCAACACAAATAGCTACAAAGTACGACAATTTTCTTTCGTTGCAATCGTTGCAACCAACCAGTCACTTTGGCGCTACAATCGTTTCAGAATAACATCATTAAAATACTTAAAACCCTGCTAATATCTATTGAAACAAATAATACACGAAACAAAAATCAATGCTAACAATTTCTTGTTTTTATAGAATATCGATATCATTCAAACATGAATAGCAGTTATGTTGATTTGATAATTAATAAAAATAATTTTAATACATAGCAAATTAAAATCTTTGCTTATATATTTATATATATTAAATATAGAAAAAAAATAACAAATGTATTTTAACATTCTCATTGAAAGTATATTATAAAATAGCATTAAATTATTCAAAAAATTCAAATTAGCATTAATTACATAAGATATAATAAGTATGTACAACATAATGAGAAGCTTAAATTTTAAATAAAGTATTTAAATTGTAATTAATGTATAACACTTAAAGTTACTTAATAAGTAAGATAAATGGAAAGAAAGGTAAAACAGTCGAAGAAATTTATTTTTTGCAATAAATGTATTTTTTTTTCTTTTTCGCTTACTTAAAACTAGAAATAGCAATAGTGGATTTATAGCAGTAGCAGCAATGAATATAATATTTATAATTATAATATCTATAGTTAACATATCTCCATAAAATTATATTAATAATTATAGTTGTAATCGTCATGATCATTCATTTATATACATGTATATATGAAGATATGCATACACATACGAAAGCATGCAATTATGCACGGGAATCATCATAAGTGTACGCATATATTTCACGATCTAATTTTTGTTTTTCATACGAAATCTTATATGTATGTATCAATTTAATTCACGTGATCTTTCATCCTGAATATTTCAGGATTGTGACTTAGAATCTAATTTTTTCATGATTTTGAACGAGGAAGTGATCGCCTGCATCGTATCGCACGGTTTTCATAGCTATATATAACATACTTGTGTTTTATAAACTTCTAGTATACTGTCTTTTTTATTACACATACGTTTATATGCAAAATCGTTATAAGTGTGGTACAAAAAATAAGAGTGCTTCACTTTCTGTTTAAATATGCTAATATAAAATTTACAATACAACTTAGCATATCTTATGTTTACAAAATCAAGAACCGATGAAAGTTTAATATACAGAATTAAAATATTTATTAAAGGTTTATGTGTGTTATTTAATTCGAGGAAAAATCTTACAAAAAATGTTTCATTCATGAAACGATAAGCACCGCAGAGAAATCTATATAAAGTTTAATTTACTAAATCATTGCCAAGACATTTAATTTATATAAAAAAAGACCAATAATTTAATCGAGTCGTTTAATAAAACAAAACAACAAATTGATATTTAAATTACAATCTATGATTTTTTTTTTATTACAATTTTTGAAATGATTGAAAACGCACGCATTGCAAAACGGAACACTTCAAGAAAAAAAACGAAATCGATGAAAATAGAAGCGCTTTGAAGGAGGTACGATGTATGGTTTATCAAACTAGCGGAATCCAATTGTTGAGTCATTTATAAAAAGAATTGCCTGATAAAACGCACTAGCCTTTTTGGACAGAGGGGCCATGAAATGTTGCGATAAATATTGTGATGTAGTTGTTAAAATAAAACTTTTTTGAATGAAATATTGCAAATATTGCGACTAAAAGTTATACTCGTAATTAAGGAAAAAAAAAAAAAAAAAAAAGAAAGAAAAAAGAACTGCTTAATTCAAAGATTATTAAATATAAATAACGCTATCACATTCTTTGTATCTTGAATTTAAATATAAAGAGAATACATGCAACATGAGTATTGATATTTCCTATTATTCCTTGATGTATCAATAATAGTAAATTTTAGTCTCCAGATGAGAAGCCGCAAATGGTCAATATTCTTAAAAGCTACTCACAAAACTTCGCTACGTGGCAAGGCTCCTCTCTAAATGCGATAGTTCTTAATATATTATGGGCAATCTTCTGCATGATTTCTCAAATCTGACACAACCTGTATTCCCGATCTACACGTCAACCTCCTCGCGCAATAACGATTTTTATTATGTGAAAACTTCATAGTGTCATCCTATGACAAAGGACATCAACAATGAATCATTAGGAGATGCAGATATATAGGACAGTCCATACGTTTCACCATGACCAATAAGAGAGAGCATTATATGTTTAAAAATACTATGCTGAGTGAACTATTCAATAGGACAGATGGAGTAAAGATAAAAGACCCATCTAAAGAGTCAAATATATAATATGCGTGATATAATCACAACATATATTCTTTTCTTTTTATAGGAAGTCAGATAAATATTTCTCGGTATGCTAGTCTGTGTTTCAATGTTTAAAAAAAGATATTTTGTTTAGAATTTATTCTATATAAAATATATGCATCTTAAATCTTTATTGCTTTACTCAATAAGTTTGATAAAACATCTTAAAATTACTGATGAGATTAATGAATATGTAAGATATGAAAACCGAGATATATGCTCCCAGACTTCCTAAAGGCTGATCAAAATTATTATAAAACTTGTGAATATTATTTATATTCCAATATGTAAACGTACGACCTGACCTCTGCATCCATATGCTTGTATATGAATTTTTGTCGATCCACGACCTAGCATGCACAAGAATCCCCTTTACCATTATTTCTTTGGTCATTGGTCAGCTTAATTTGGTCTGGGAACTCATTATAAAGTTCCACCTATGAGTGGAAAAACAGTTAATAATAGTTAATAACAGATCAATTTATAAATGATATAATAATACTGAATAACTTATAACATACCTCACTTTCTTGAGCTAGAGCATTCTTAGCTATCGTTTGGAATGCCTGTTCCACATTAATAGCCTCTTTTGCACTGGTCTCAAAATATGGAATATTGTTTTTGGATTGACACCATTGTTGTGCTCTCTTACTAGATACCTTATAGAAAAGTATATATATTATAATGTAATTCTTATCTTTTGTTTTTTTGTTTATTTTACTAAGCTTACCGATTTAGATTCTAGATCCACCTTATTCCCCAAAACAACAAATGGAAAATTATCTGGATCTCGTGGAGATGCTTGGATCAAAAACTCGTCTCTCCATGATTCTAAAGATTTGAAACTTGTTGGTGCAGAAACATCAAATACCAATACACAACAATCTGCGCCTCTATAGAATGCAACTCCCAACGATTGAAATCTTTCTTGACCTGCCGTATCCCAAATCTGTGGTTGTCAAAATCAGAGTATAATTTTTTACACAATGGAAATAATGATTTATATTATTTAAAGTACCATAATTACCTGCATAGTAACTACCCTATCATCTACCATAACTTCTTTGGTGAGAAAATCTGCTCCTATAGTAGCTTTGTACTGATTACTAAACTTTTTGTTAACATATTGATTCATCAATGATGTTTTACCTACTCCAGAATCTCCCAGAATAATTACTTTTAAAAGTACTTTCTTGCGGGATGACATAATGACTGAAAGAAAAAAAAATTTTATTTTTCAAATGCTATGCAGTAATGTTATTTAAAAAATGTAATGTATTAAACAGAATGATACAAGATAAAATTGTGAAAATAGTAAAGATCATAGTATAAAAGAAGATATGATACTGTTATCTATATTGAATTACAGTATAAATTTCAGTAATGTTGTTATATTACAAAAATTTGGTTGTGAAAAAAAGAATTTGTTGACAATAATACTTAGTAATATCATATTGTCCCAATAAAATTAAAAAAAAAGAAAAAACACGCTACAAATTTCAAAGCATTAAGAAAATATATAATAGATGTCATAATTAATCCGTATGTTTTTTAAATGAATCATCGAATGCAGAATGAGAAGTAACTTTCTTCTTAATGACGTATGTTTCTAAATGTTACAAAAAAGATATTATTTGCTATTATCAGAAGAATAAATATACTTTGACAACTAACACTAAATTCGTAATCCCGTTAATAAGAAAAATAGGATATCACTAAGCGAGAATAGAACCTAACAGGATGTAAGAGAATTTACATGTAGATGTAAAATAGAATCCGTTTAACTGCGATAGTTGAAAACCTGTCAACACACTAACAGGGCAATTACGATTTTGCGCGGTAATTTGAGAGTCTTCTCAAAGGAAAGATACGCGATGTCCATCGACGGACGAAAGCATCCAGTGGTCGATCGACGAAACCTCGAACGTAGATGATATTACCTCGAATTTAATAGAAAACAGGACGCGTATTCCCTCTGACCCTAACACTTCACACAAAGAAAATGGCGTGTTATGAAATCACGAGTATGACAACGATGTCGTCACCTGTTCGTTAATGCTCTTATCGACTGCACAAAATCGATTGTAATTCTCGAATACAGCTCGAGATATCGAATGTCGCTTGAACTTACACAGTTGCGCCACCTTCAGTAAAAAAGAATAATTTGATTTCAATATACATATCGAGATTTTGTACTTCCTGATTTCACGCGTTGAGGTATACGAAGTAGAGAGGTTAAGGAGACAATATGTATTGCAGTGTATTACGGAAGTGAAAGTATGATCGCCATCTTGCTTATCCACTCTGTTCGCGCGAAGTTTAAACGATGAATAATTTATATTGATTAGAACGTACAAACTTTTCAAAAGAAATAATTTTTCAACTATCGTCATTCGACTGTTCATATTCGAGTATGCTTACTTCACCAGTGCTTTCAAATATTATAATTCAGATAAATTATACAAATGCATATCTATTTTCTGTATTGTTAGAAAAGAATGTGATAGCAATAAAAAAGTGACGTATTAAGATGGCGAAAGTATAACTTCCGTCATTTAGAAACGTAACGTAAGTATGTATATATGTACTACTAAGGATTTGACGATACTCTCTCTTTTACTCCTTAGTCTTTCTACTCTAAGATTGAAAGGAACGCGTTCTCCTGTGCTGCCTCTTCATCATAGATCTTTGATTTCAGATTTCAAGGTGCATGCATCTGCAAAATCGTAAAGTGTGATACACATTGAACAAATAAAGCTGCGTTTGAATGTAAACTTAATGACTACTTGAAACTTTTAGAAAATATATTATCCTAGAACGTGTCTCCTTTGAAATCATCGTCAGTGCGAGCATACTGAAATTAGAAGCATTTCTTACTTGGAGATCGACTTCAAAAAGGTTACTTTTGCGGCAAACGTCAATGTTATAAAGCGATACGTTGATCTTTCCGTTTTTTCATAAAGAGTGACATTTTAGAATTTTGTCGTACCACTGGTGGAAAATAATTTGACACCGTTGTCCTATCATCGCGTTTACAAATACTGTTGAATTTTTTCTAATTGTATCGTCGAATCGTTATACTTTCATGCAATGTTAGTTGGTCGCTTTGCTCAAAACGTATTACGTTATTTTTTTAGTGGACGGCATACCAATGTTGTGATTATCGCATTTTGTGATAAATTTTACGACGATTAACTGCAGAGTAATATCATCGCACCATGTTCTGGACTAATAATTACGTGTCGTCGCCGCATATTGAAGCATTACTTAACAAAGAGGTGAGTGTGATATTTATTTGGTGTTATGGTTAAATGTGCTCGGTCAACGATTATCATAATTTTAGAATGTTACGTTGCACGAATTAATGGACGAAGAAGATATCTTACAAGAATGTAAGAGTCAAAACAAGAAGTTGGTAGAATAGTAAGTGAATTTGAAACTTTTTATCCATTAAATGAAGATATTTAGCTGAGTATAATATTGATATGCTATGCCTTTATTCATAGTCTTGCAAGGCCTGATGTAATGGAAGAATTAGTAATGCTTACAACTAAGGAACCATCTATGGATATTGAAGAACGCTTGCGTTACAAATATCCTAATGTTGCATGTGAATTGCTTACTTGTGACGTGCCAACACTGAATGAGAAATTAGCAGGTATTTTAATAAATTGATAATGCATCCCATTGTTTAAGAAACATATAATTATACAAAGTATGATTGAATAAATTTTAGGTGACGAGTCACTTCTGAACAAGTTATATGCTTTTATAGACACTGATCAACCTTTAAATCCTTTGTTAGCATCGTTCTTCAGTAAAACAATCGGTGTACTTGTTACTCGTAAGAGTGATCAGGTGATTATGGAGTTTATAACAGTATAATCTTAATAATTAATAATTATTTTTTAATAGCTTTATTTTTTAACTTAAGCAAAAACTTTTCTATTTATTTCATTTATAGGCATATAAATATTATTGAAAGATTAATAATATTTATTTATCTTTTCCTTATCCTTTTCGTGCCTATCCTTTCTTATCCTTACTATCAGAACTGGTATTCCTATCAGTTCACATGTTTACAGGTTTTAGAGTTTCTTAAAAGTCGTCAACATTGTGTAGACTTGCTTTTACAACATTTAGAGACTTCAGCTATTATGGATTTAATATTAAAACTGGTAACACAAGTTGAAGGAAGTGATATGCGACAAAATATATTAAACGTAAGGAATGATTTTTTCTCATATATATTAACATTTTATTATATTATATGTAAAATTATATTGTTTATAATTATTCAATAAGACTATATTTTCTAATAATTCTAAAATGTTTATCTTTCAAAATGAGTTTAGATAATAATTATTTATTTTTTCTATTGACAAGTGGTTAGATAGTCAGCAGTTAGTACAAAGGTTGGTTAAATTGTTGTCTCCTACATCAGAGCCAGCAAAACATGCAAATGCGTCTCAATTACTTTGTGACATGATAATTGTAGCAAGAGAAAATCAACGTACATCGACAGAAAAAACAGATCCAGATCCTATTTTAAATACTTTGGAGTCGTAAGTACATTCAAAATAAAGATATGATCAAATATAAAACATTGAATGTATAATAGTTAAATGTAGAATTTCAAAAATATTAATGTTAAATATGTTGTTTTTTTAGAGGAGAAACTGTAAGTCTATTATTAGAGACAATCTTGACAAGTGAAAAATTAGAAAGCAGTATTGTAGGTGGAATTCAAGTGCTTCTTGCTCTTCTGGGTCAAAGAGTAAACACGTATGCATATAATATTCTTATATTCATCTATTTGTTTTTATATTTGTCTATAGAAAATATTTAACATATATATAGTGCCTTAAACGAAGCTGATGTTCATGGGAATGGTACCAGTGAAGACATGACAGATAATGAACAACGTATTAAAATTTCTAATGCTACTATATCCTATTTGGAACAACTTCACAAACTTCTTTTAGATCCACCAATTGTAAATATCACTGAATATGATTAATTCTTATGTAATATATAAATATGTAGGTATAAATATTTATTTGTTATTACAGAAACCAGCTGTAAGAACAACAGCTGGAGTTTTAGATTGTCCATTGGGTAAAACACGCTTGCATGTTGCAAGATTATTAATGGCCTTGTTATCAACAGAAAATGTAAAAATTCATGAAGCATTAGTAGATTTAGGAACATTCCAAACTTTATTGGTCAGTATAAATGTTATAACTGTATTATTATGATGCTCAATTTATTAATATTGAAATTTAACTATATTTTTGTATTGTTATATTATTTTCAGGACCTATTTTTCAAATACACATGGAACAATTTCTTACACACACAAGTACAACAATGCCTAGCTTTAGCTATTAATTGTGATTACCAAGATAATAATATTTATGGCAATGTAGGTAATATGTCTCTAACAGTGACAATATTTTATTTTTATAAAAAATATTTTTATCAAACAAGTTATTTCTTTTTTAGATATTTGTTAAGTGCAGATTGATAGAACGTATTTTGGAAGCTTGGGACAAAAATGAAAATAAACAGTAAGTTTCTGAATTATGATTTATGATTGTGAAAAAAAATGTAAATTACACGCTGCGATTGCTTAGTCTAACGCTTTTAATATTCTTAATTTTAGAAATAAAGAAAACGGTGTTAGGCAAGGATACATGGGTCACTTAATAAATATAGCAAATAATATTGTAATACAATGTGAAAAAAATAATGCATTGGATACCTTTGTGAAAACAAATTTATCAACTGAATGTCTTAATAAGTGGGAAAACCTTGTGAATATAAAATTAGTGGAAATCAACAAAACGCGTGAAATCTTCTTGGTAACCACAATATCATTATCTTATCAAAATGTTCATTTAAAAAACTGATTACTATAATTATATATGTGGTATATATGTATGATATGTAGGTTAGACCAACAGCACATATGGCCAACTCTGAAGATACTCCAGATCGCTACTATTTAAAAGAGGTATATGAATCATTTTAAAGTTTTATTTAACTTGATTTTGATAATATTAAAATTAATGATAATTTAAATATCTTATTGGTAATTTTGTATATAAATAATTTTTATTTTGTCTTCTACAAATGTTAATGTAGATATACATTATAAATATTTATATTTTTTAAATGTACATATATGTTAATATTTAATATTAATATTAAATATTAATTTACAATATAAATTATTAAGTATTATATAATAATATAAATTACAACTTTTAATTATGCTATATGTTATTCTTTAATGTTAGATATACACCGACTACCAGGGTCAACAAATGACGTCTACTTTTATTGATAATTTTGGATTTCGTGATAATGAATTTGATGATGGTGATGATGCACTTCAGTAAGTATATCAAATTGTGTATTCATATAAGTTCCATAGTGAGACTGCCTATGGAATTGTAAAGTTATAATAGCATGAAGAAAATATAACACTGTGAGCAGCAGTATTGCATTTCCTTCTTGCGATTGTTAAAAAAAAACACTATTATAGTAACTCCGTTGATCAATTAACAACGTTGGCCTTTAATCTCAGTGAAGAAGATCTGGATTCAAGAGAAGATTTGTTTAATAAGGTAGGTATTTATTATTCATAATCTAGATATCATCTTATTTATTCATATTGCTTAGTTATTTTAAATATAAATTTAAATGTAGATCTGTCAGCAAAAGCAAAAAGCAGGACTTGAGGAATGTGGCGGTGGAACAGAATGGGGTGATGAAGGTGATTTAACTTTTCAAACGGTAGTAGATAAACGAGATTGGCATTCAAAACAACATCATGGATCTAGTTCATCTGATGAAGATGATGAAGATCCTCGGGATATGCAAATGGAAATTGATACATCAGATGGTAAAATCTTACTTATAATATATTCGTAGAAATATATTTAACTTTATAATTTAATTGCAGTTAAATTACATTTAATTATATTGAATAATTAAATTACATTTAATTATATTTAATAATTAAATGTAATTAAAGTTAATTACA